ACCTCTAAATATATGTTAGGAACCTTTAGTCTGATGTATTTTTAACTGTGGATATATCAGTCTCCTACATAAATACATACATTACCTCGTGAAATCACAAATTGTGTTGTCCTTCAAATGATAACATGATATCGTTATAATAGTATATTTTAGTAAAAGCCAGTGATATATCCACAGTTAAAAATACATCAGACTAAAGGTTCCTAACATATATTTAGAGGTATTGAATGATAGGGAAAAGGATGTGTAAGAAAATCTATTCTTCATGCTATATAACTTGTCCAGGCCAGAATCACACTGATTCAGAGAGTTGTCACATGACTGTGATTCCAAGAGTGTGAGTATTTGAGAAAGACTGTAGGCCTTGGATACAGGATCCATGTATTTATATAAAACATCCTCTTTTTCCTAATGATTCTCAGAATTGAAAATTTATCTACATTGATTTTAAAAATGAATTGCAAAAGGTACAGCTTTTTCACCAAAGGGAGTCCATGAAATGGAAACAATATTTTAAAAATGTAAGAACTGATATCTTTTTTTTTAATCAATCTTCCCACCTTCTGTAGCATAAGGTTTAGTTTTTCTTAAACAGTCTTTTTTTTTAATACCCATAAATGCTTTTAGTGTGCAATAGCTACTGAGTGATCATGGTAAGTATTTCAACCCATATAACAGGTATAGAAAAAGGCAGGAAAAAGGAACTCCTTTAGTTGCCCAGGCTGGCATTCATAGGCTGACGTGTCATTGAACTTAAACCACATGCCTTAACTCTTGGCTCTCACATTCTCAAATATTGGCATATCACACCTGAAGGCTTGGCCCTAACGATGCCCAGAGCCCCCGCCCGTCTGGCCTCCAGCCAGGCCCCCACCCCTCCAGCCAGCCCAGCCCAGCCCCAGCCGGGCGCTGTGGACACCACAGTCATTCATGACTTACTAATGCATCTGGGTTGAGCTGACCATCCATTCTGGAGACATGTAATAGACCCGGATGTGTGACCATCTTCTGTGACATAACCTTGTTTGCACTTATATTTTGTTTTCTTATTCAAGGGATATGTAGACTCAGACTCAGCAATAAATCCATTCTCAATATTTGCCTTCGATTTTAAACATATTTCTAAAAGGAAGAGAGCATAAGGAAACGGTAAGCATATGGTCAGGAAACAGTTTCCTAAGGACTCCCACAACATTACAGCATGAGAAATAAGGGCCATTTGTCAATGAAAACCTGGAAAATTCCTAATCATACAAAGCATTGTGTCGGAGAAAATAGGTTATGAGTTTCCAAAAGCATTAACTCTAGATGTTAGAAACATTTGGGGGAACTAAGCCAGATTTAAAACACTGAGGATGCCTTGTAAGAAATTATTAAAAATCGGTTTGCCTCATGAATCTGGAAGCCGGCAGCCCGCCGGAGCTCTCCTAGCAACAGGCCCCTTCCTGTGCCTGACTGGGGTGTCAATATTGCTAAGAGGGTGGAGCTTAAGTGTTCTCACCCCATGGGAAGCAATGGCACCTCTGTGAGGTGATGGATGGATGCTATGCAGCTCCATCTGGTGGTCATGTCACCACGTGTGCTTATATCAAATTAGCAAGCTGTCCGCATTACACATATGCAATTCCCATTTTCAATTATACCCCATTCGTGCTGAAAAAGGGAAAACCAACTGGAAAACAGAAACATCTGAGCAGGAATCAACTAGAAACCAAACACTAGAGAAAAGAACAGAGTCAAACAGTGCTTCATTGAAAATAGGCACTAAAATGGATAAACACACGGAAAGAACAATGAAGACAGTGCCAGCCACACAGACACAATGAGGAAATGGAGCCAAATCTATGAACATGACCTTGTGAGGCATATGGACACAGCCAGTGCCTAACTATTGTTCCTGAGACACATGGTTACCGATGGGATCTCCATTCTCAACAGGGCTTTGCTGGGAGGTGGGAACTTCCCAGATCACAGCACAGGAAGGGAAAACCCAAGCACATGTGTCAGTCCTACTGAACAGGAGAAAC